GTTGACCAAGTTTCTAACTTACCAATCAACTACAAACACATGTAAAGTCAAGCAGCATCTATGAAGCTTTTAGAAAGCTTTTCGAAAAGGTCTTATAAAATTAATCCACTTTTATCTATTCTTACCTATCCTTACTTAATCATTTAAGTATTTACTAGAATACTTCTCTATTTCCATAATAGGTAGCTAAACATAATCTTTGTCATAGAGATGCATGCTTGATTTTTGTTACTCTTTTTAATGATTTTTTTTAAATGTACTTGTAAACACTTCTAAAAATAAATTCAAATTTTAGAATAGTTATGAATCTTTTTCTATCAAAAGTAAAAATCAAGAAATAGGATTTTTATAAAAAAAATCTCTTATAAATCAAACTTGAATAAATCCATAAAGGCATTGAGAAAGATGTAATCTTATATAAAGCTTTATTTATTGTAATAACCTTTGAAACTTTGATCCAATTCTATAAAACCTCTTCAACATACTTATCTTTGCTTTTATTATACTTGTAGTACCAAGACTTTTTGGATTTAGTTGTGAACTTAATCAACTTACTTTTCTTAATTGCACAACTTTTTGGTACAAATTTTAAATTTTATTATTGACTTCTTCTATGAGCATAGGAATAGTATCTGTACAATTTATATTAGAGATACGTGAGATTTCTATCCCAAGAATATTGATAAGCTTCTGAAGATTTAAAATAATTACAAATCAATTCTTAATTTTATCAAAAATAGCATCTATAATTTTATCTTTCATGTACAACTCAAAAAAATCAAAAAATTAAATTAAAAGAAGATAATCCATAATTTCTAATATTAAATAAAAGTTTTCATAAAGAAAGATAATTTTTTAAAATATATATATATATAATGTTAAAAGACTATAAATTAAATTAAAGGTACATAGTTCATAACTTTTAAAAATACTATAATAGAAGTGGGATAATTAACTCATTTCTATAAAAAAAAAAAACACGAATAATAAGTTATGATTCTTGTCAAATTATTAAGGACATGAATCTCAATGAAAGAAATCTTGATACACTCTTATATTAATCAAAAAGATTAGAAAGTCATTCAAAGATGGTAATATATTGAATTAGAATAGATATTACTAAAGATAACAAGATTAGAAAGTCTTGAAATAAGAGTAAAGACTAGAAAGGTGTTGACATGAGTATAAAAGGCTTCATTCTTTCCTCCATATATACTATCTAATTAGGAGCTATGTGGCAATGTTTTATAAGACCTTCAACATGTGTTGACTTTATAAAACACATATCTTCTTGTAAGACAAGGTTTTTGTATGTATGCCATATAGTTAGATTATTCCATAAGCTACGAACATATGTAATATGTGTTTGATTTATTGACCAAATTTCTAACCTACCAATCAATTACAAACACATGTAAAGTCAAAACTACATCTATGAAACTTTTAAGAAGCTTCTCTAAAAGATATTATGAAATTAATTTACTTTTTCCTACTTCTACTTAATCATATAGGTGATTATTTAAGTAAATATGTATATCCATAATATAATATTAGTTTGGATTTGTATAATTTGTAATAACATCATTGTGGGATTTGTTTTTAAATATGTATGTATCATTATTTTAAATAAGTGAAGGAACTTTTAATCAACTAGGAGAAGGGAGATGGAAGAAGTACTTGACAATATTTTAATTATGTATTTATTTGATTTAGATTGAATTTTTTATGATTGATATATGACACTCATGCTATTATATGTAATAATCTTTATCTACACAATCATGTGAAATGTAAGCAATTTAATTTGCTTTAGTGGTTTTTTATGCATTGAAATTTTTTATTAGTTGACTTTATTAGAATCAACTAAAATTTAAATTCTTAAATAGATAAAAATGCTTAACTTAATATTCTTATTAAGTCAAATCTTATGAGTGATTTTGAATAAAAAAATCTTGTATTGTAAGGATTTGCTTGGATGTGGTGGTTTAGTCATTTTAATAAAGCTTGAGTTTTTCTATTTACACATGCATTCTTAGATCTTCCTTTTATAGTTTAAAAAATAGCTTAACTTATTTGTATATTAATTCATCATCTTTCTTTAAAAGAAAATTTATTATGCATTTATATTTGGTTTAGATTGCATACTTTATGATTTATTTATGATACTATATTTTATTATATATAACAATCATTATTTATACAATAATATATATATATATATATATATATATATATATATATAATATCAATATAATTAATTTCTTGTCAAGGTTATATTTTCTTATTATAAATTAAATTAATTTTGTATACAAAATATCAAAATAAAAAATATATCTATATATTATATTGAATCTTTAAATTATGTATAACTATGAATTAGGAAATCATAAATTAAAATATCCAAGTTTATTGAAGCTTGTACTCTATACCTAAGTCTTAATTTATTTAGTAATAACTTAACATTTACAACATTCAATGCCATTGTCATCAAATATATGATCTATTATTTTTATTTTATGTCTCAACGACAAAAAAAATTACATTATGTAAATATTTTATAAGTGATATATATATATATATATATATATATATAAACATATTAAAATGATTAATTAAGTCCTTTAAATATACTAATATGTCATATTCAAATCTAAAAGTATTTTACAAATTTTCCTTTGAATTTGTACATTGATGTTTATTTTTTTTAGAATTTTCTATGTCTAATAGAAAAATAAAAATATGAATTTCGATATATATTTTTTTAAAAAATTTAAAATTATAGAAATTACCGATTATTTATTATAAAATATATTTTTGTATCAACGAGTTATGATTATTATCTGATTTTGGAATGGATGTAATATATTATAAATTATCTATATTATTTCATTAATATTAAATTATTAATAAATTCAGATTTCAATTTACAACAAAGAAAGGATTTTTTTTTGTTTTACATGTTTTTGAAGATGTATACAAAATGATTCATAATCATGAAAAAAATAGTGAAAATATTAATGTGATTTTTATAAAAATTAAGATACAAAATATGTCTTTCTAAAGATTTTTAGATTTTTAGTTTTTGTTATATATTTCTTAAATAAAATTTAATATAATACTTGATAAGTATGTATTAAAATATAATTATTTTTATTTATTCATTTTTATTTTAAAAAATTACATTGTATCATTAATTTTTAGTTTTAATTTTTGAAAAAATTAAAATCAAATGCAATATCCTCTTGTTTTAAGATAAGAGTTTATATTTGAACTAAAAAAATACTAAATTATACTAAGAAAATATATTTACATTTATAAAAAGATGAACATATACAGTTATGAAATATTTAACAGATATCTTTTCCTTTAATATAGGAATTTTAACAAGATAACTTAGGCAAAATAAATATGGACTTTATAATAAATAGGGAGAGTTAGGATGTACATGACCTAAAGTTATTACAGCAACAGAACAAAATAATGTGTAAAACTTCTCATTCAAAAAGTTTTAAAACTGTCATAGAATCATGTAATTGTAATATATCTCTCCAATAAACAAAAATAAAAATTTATTACAGTTCATGAAAATATTAAAAAATTAAAAATATAAAAAATATATATGTAAAAAATCATAGATCTTATTTATGTAAATTTTATATGTGTCTTATTTAAAAATTTATTTAGATGCAGTAAAATATAAAATTTTAAAGTATTTCAGTGAATTTTTGCTTACCTAATAAATATTGCATCAATTGCAAAAGCAAGAAATTACACAATAATATTTTTTGCCATAAGTCCTGGTATATCTAACTTAATTGTTTATAATAAAAAGTTAAAAAATCGTTAATATTTTGCTAATGAGAACCATTCTAAAAAAATCAAATTGAAAAAAGTATCATAATCAAACCAAGAAAAATTCTTTAAGGAAGCTTTAATATAATGTTTTGTGCAAAAGTGCAACTTTTTCATTTATGTAAATTATTGAGATTTGTCTTATACTACACAAAACAAGTTGAAAATATATTAAGAGTTATACAATTGTTTCTGGAATTATAATACCACCAAATAAACTAAAAATGTGTTTTGCTTTTATAAAGGTTGTACAAAGATTTCTTATTTTTATTAAACTTTCAAGTAGGATTTTTTTAATTAATAAGATTAGTGAACAAATATACAATAATTAATTAAGATTCCTTGCCACAAGTTGGTTATCTATGTTAGTAAGTATTTTTTAATATCATTCTATAAAAAATCATAGATTTATTATAATAAAAAATATTTTTAAAAATAGAAAATATTCTTTATTTAGTGCTTAGGACTTGTAACAACAATACAATCACTTAATAATTAATTGCGATATGAAAAAAAAAAAAAAAAAAAAAAAAAAATGTATCAAACAAACAATCAAATCACTGTATACTTTATTTAAGTGCAAGAAATGTAGAAAATAGGGTAAATTAATAAGAACAGTAAATTCAGAACTGCACATATACTATATTCATCCTTGTGCTAGGTTCATCAAATATGATGGATATTTTGCAATGACAACTATTTTGGATATCACATATGACAACTAAAATTTAAACTGCCAAATTTTTCAATGTTATTTTACAATCATAGGTAGAATTTGCCTTCCTTTTGTAGTTAAAAGTTATTCTCAGTTCTTCATATACCAACCCATCCCTTCTGCTAACACCCACTATCAAATCAAAACACGCGCTTTTGAGGTTGAAACACACCACAGTTTGCACAAACTCACCATTAAAATCAACACTATGTTCATTAGTCTTTGAGCATCTCCAACGATTACTCATTCGATCACAACAGCGTCGACCATTAAAAAAATGTGTTGGCAAAGTATGAAGAATCTAAATTCCACTAGTGAATAAATTCAAAGCCCTTAAATGCAAGCTAGCAAGCATGTCAGGCTCTGAGCAGGTCCCATGGAGATCCAGCGCAGAAAGAAGATCAGATCGGAGGTTTTCGATATGCTTGTTTAGAACTGAATTTGGCATTAGGAACTGATCGGAAATAACCAACAATGTTGGGTGCATTCTCTCGAAGCACAGATAGCATGTGCAGAAAATGCCTGGTCAATGTGAGTCATTTCTCTGTGTTGGATGTGCATGGGCCACGAGTGAGTGCAGTCGTTTGTAGACTCAGCATGGGGGGTTTTCTAAGTCTGGTCCTTGATATTACGAAGCCTGGGTCCGAAGCGGCGCTCGACGGTGGTGGACTTGTCTCGATTCCTACAGCAGATTCTAGCATCTGTGGAAGCATCTCCTCCACCGACCTTGAAACAATTCTTGCCCAGTTTCCAAAAGCAGGGAATTGAAAATTGACACCAGTTTCTAATGAAAGTATTTGTGTGTTTGTTTTGATATTTTTTTCGTCCCGAGAATAAGAGTTGGGTGAGCTGTTGGAACGGCACGTGGATACTAGTTTCGCAGGCCTGTTGGAAATGTCCATATGGGTGCGGTATCACCTGGTATATGTTACAGAAATTAAGTCCCGCTGTTCTCCGAAAAGGCAACAGCGCTACAGTTGTCGTAGCCGACTCCAGCTCGCACCTTGTCGACAACGAGGAAGAGCAACCTGTGGAAGAAACAGGCAACTCAAGTTGAATAATTCCAGTCCATTCGGTGCACAGTGTAATTTTAGCAAGGTTTTGTGAATTATGATTTGTCCTTGTATTTGTTTGAAGTCAGCTCACACTAGTCGGATGGGTTTCCGGGAGGTTTGGTTGAATGCGCATTGCTGACATCCTCAATGCGCAAAACTAGCACTGACCATGCAGAAGATTCATCACGTTGGTCATTGACCTACACAAATCAACTCCCACAACTCAAGCGGAAAGGAGCGATGTGCAACCCCTCCACACCGATCCTCCCGACGTTTTTTTCATGTTGAGGCGACATCTGCCCACCGGTTGGGGTGGCAATGTCTCACAGGCGATGGCGTCACGGCCACTGGGTGTCTGAATTTAGTAACAGGTAACAGCTAGTCCCACAACAACACTGCAATCAAAACTTTAGCACAAGCTTCTCGTCTTGGCGGTCAGCGCTGATAATGCCGCAGATGTGCGTGTAGGCATCGTCAAGTAGACCCAGGAACTCTCTGGAATTGCAGCCATGGCAGTTGCACGAGGAAAAGGGTTAGCCACGCCCATGTTGGTCCTCAACATGTGCTTGTATCTGGTGGCCGCCATTTTGGCAGGCTGGGCATTGAACAGCAAGTTCGACGCGGGCATGGACTGCAATCTCTGCCGCTCTTCTCTTTTAAGTCCAGGATCCGGAAGGTCCATCGTCCACTTCAAGCTTCTCCAGAGACTTGGCTGCAATTCAAGCCCAACTCCGACACACCTCCACACCGATCGTCACTACCGGCCAGCCCTCGACCCAACCTGCGACTGCAGATGAGCCGATTGAATACCCTCCGTCGCAGGTCGGCATCGATAACCATTGTCTTCGATGGCTCCTCTTCGCATTCATTTTCGAATGGTAGCGAGGTAGGCAAGCCACATCCAGAGCTCAAAGTCCATTCGTTCCTCCTGCCATGCCATCTAGATATCGCAACTGTTGCAGTCGGTGACCGTTTCCATCACCATCAACGCCTGCATTTTTCGCCAGTTGTCGATGCTTTCTTCCGAAGCTGTTGCTCATCTGTGGGTCTTGCCCACGCAGCCTTCGTTGAGTAGATTTATGGCCGAGGTCCTCGCCCCAACAAACTGCCACCATCCTCGCAGCAGCTGCTCTTGTTGATGTTGCGTTGCGAGGTTTTGTCTCGAACATGTAAAGGCAGTTTGTTTGTTTCACTCTGTTTTCATTTATTTATAATTAGTTGTATTTTAAGATCCTCTTTTGTCTTCGGTCATCAGGGTGCTTCTAAAGCCCAGAAAGGCTTCACTTTGTCCATTCCATTGTCTTGTTTTGGCTTTGGAATAGAGAGTTCACATCGTTTTGTTACATTAAAATTGAATAGCATTTGAGTGTTCGGGGATGAAGTAGGAAGCATTTGTTGTGAGAGAGATGAAGTTTTATGGTTTTGGACGTATCAGTTTGAATATTTTGATGGTATAGTAACAAAAATTGTTTGTGAATTATCAGTGATGCATGCTTTGTTGTGATGACTGAATGTGTTACAGCAAAAACTGTTACTGATATTGGTTTCTTGTTTTTGTTGAAGAAGGTTTTAGCATTTTTCCGTAACTTTATTGTACATATGAAGGCAATCAAACCAATTTTTCAACAAACAGAACTCATTAAAACGGATTAGGCAACATTTTAAAGTTTGAAGTTCTTCATAAATTAAGTGTCTTTAACAAAATAAGGTTACTATTTTTTAAAATTGTACTGCTGAGCCACAACTGTTGACTAAATAAGAATTTGGCGAGAATTAAATGTCTTTGGAAACTTCAGTAATATTTCAGGTCAATGGAATCAATCAAACAAATATAAGGACAATAAATGAGATTCTGTAAGATTTTTGACAACGTTTTCAAAGTAAAATCACACATGATAAAATAATCTTTGTAATCTTGAGAAGTTTACCAATTTTTTGAAAATATGAACAAATATTTTAGATAAAACACTTTTTACTTTTTACTTTTTTTTTACATCATTATAAAACTTATAAAACAGTTAGTTAATTTTTTTCTAAAACATATTAATTGTAAACATAGATACAATAATATTAAAAAAAGAATAAGTCTTTTAGTATTCTTAAGTAGCTACTTAAGAAAGTTACAGACAATATCTTTGTAAGAATATTATTTTCTAAGTAATGGTGTAAATATATTGTTATAAAGAAAATAAATTCATAGTTCTTTAGTAAAGAATATTAACATAGAATACTTTATATAAGCAAAGTATTGTCAAAGTAGTTAGATTTAGAATTTTTTAAAGCAATATTATTATTATTATTTATTAGTAACAATGTAAATAATGTGTTATTTAAAAAGTAGGGTTCTTAATTTTAGGAATTATTTTAATAAATCTATAAAAATTTCATATATTATCTATAAGAAATTTATCAACTTGATATATTATCTATAATAAATTTTACAACTTTATGAGTTGCAATTTTTTTAAAAAAATACATCTCTCTTATACAAGGTGGCTTATTATAAATGATACATTAAGAAATTTTTTATTTAAATAAATGAGATTTTAAACTCTTTTAAACTATTTTAAAAAAATATTTATGTAAATTACTTATTTTAAGTGTTTTTAATCAAGTTGCATCTAATTTTCTTAAGCAATATTGGCAATTGAAAGAAATTTTGAATATCACATTTTTTATGAAGTAAGGTTTTTAATTTCTCAAAAAAATATTATTAATTTACATTAATGTTATAAACCAAGTTTATTTTAATAAGTAATTTTAATTTTTTGATTTTTTAGATTAAATTATTATGAATTTTAAGCATTTCTATCAATTGATTCTTTTAAAAAAAAAATATTGATTTCTTTAGACAATACTGTCTTATAATAATTGATGCAATAAATCAAATGTAGTTGGAGTTCTAAAGTTTTTATTTTTATTTTTAATGTTTCTAATGCCAAAAAGGAACTGATGTCTCTAATGGCAAAATTCAATAAAATAAATAGTATCAGAGAAGTGGACTTTATCATCACTTTCAAAAATTTGTTAAAAGAAATCAATACATAATATCCTATTATTTTTTTTAAGATTTTTTTTATAATATTTAAGATTATATATATAATAATTTTTTTTCTATAATGAGATATTTTCTGAATATCAAGTATTAAAAACAATTATTTTAATTTTTTTATCTAATTTTTTTCTATTCTGATATTCAATAAATAAAGTACTAATATATAAGTAAGGTTTACATTTTCTTCAAACAATGTTCTTAAAGCAGATCTATATTCAACAAAAATAATATCTTTAATAGAAAAGTTAGATTTAAATTTCTTAAGAATTAACAATAAATTAAAATATTAATTTTAATTTAAGTTGATGCATGCTAAAATTTCTAAAAGAATAAATCTTTAAATAAACAAGATACTAGAAAGTCCTTATCATTATACTATAACCTATTGCTAAAAGAGTCCAAAGCCGAGGCTCACTTTATGTAGATAGTTCTCTTGAATCCTCTTTACGTAAGCGGTGATCTTATTTTATATTTTTATCATTAAGCTTCTATCTTAGAAATATACTTCCTCATATTCTTTTATGCTATGTTACTTATAGTAATCAATAAATACATAGAATAGGTTGATTAAAAATGTTTATGCTTATTATATTGTAAAAGACCTTTGTATGATAGATTTTATGTAATATCCAATTCTATTAAAATTTAGATAATGAAGAAATTTTAATAGTATATACTAATTAAATTTTTTATTAAAATAAATAGTTTTGCATTTGATTTTTATATTTTAAATAATTATATTTTAAAATTCATTTGAATTTTAATTTTAAATCTAACAAACTTCATATTCTATTGTGTAATTATTGAAAAATTCGTGTATTCAACCAAATGATATTTGGATAATCAATATCTTATATTATTTTGGTAATTACATTCAAATTCTTAAAGAATATTTTTTAATAGCGTTAATTATAATAATAATAAAATATAAAAATTTTGGTGGCAAATATTAGCAATAACTTTTAATTTTTGGTGTTTATTTTTTCTTAAAGATAATAAATTTGTTCAACATTAATCATGTACATAATTATAATAATCAATTATTAAGATTAGTTAATAAATTTTAATTTTATTCTATTATTATTTTAATTTTATTCTATACAAAAGTATAAAATGATATTTATTAAGATGACATAAAACATACATCAATTTTCTAAAATTAAAAATTATATTAGAAGATTGTACTTATAAGCATGTATAGTTAAATTTAATAAGAAATTCAATAAGAATAAGAATATATCTAGTTCTTAAAATAAAAAAAATTAAAATTTATAAATATTATTTAAAAAATAAAATTTATATAAATATATAAAAATAATTTTAAAAATTAGATCTATCTATCTACCAAATTTTAGAATTAATATACATTAAAATGAAATGAATTTTATTAGTAATAAGAAATATTTAAGTAGTAATTAATAAAAATCTTGAATAAACCATATTTAAAGAGAGGTTTAAAAAAGAAATATAGAAAAACATGAAATCTTTACAAAATCAACCTAATGTTCATTGTTTTAAAAATCAAAACTTAGAGTTTTTTCATATTAACAACTTAACATACTTCTACTTACTTCTACCTAGTTCAATTTATTTAAGTAAATTTACTAATGAATATGGATATCCATTATATAATTCATACCAAACTTTATGTTTAGAAAGTAAAAATTTAGAAGGTTATTAGAACTTTCGACTACTCTAGTATATCTAATATTTAATATTTTTGTACATAATTAGATCTAAATATAAATTTTTAATGGATATTTTTCAAGAAATCTCACATTAAATTTTTTGTGCTTGAAATTTTGAAGTATAAATTCAATTTAGATTGATTCTAATATGTTAAAAAAATCTCCATTGCAAAACTTAAATAAAAAAATAAAGAAAAAATTATTTCTTAAAAAGTCTTATCTATACAACTTTTTGAGAAAAATTAAAATATTTTTTAAATCAAGTATAAGTATTTAGTGAAGAAAGAACTCTAAATCAACTTCCAAAAATCAACAATGAAGTGAACTTAGAAGAGCATTGCTAACAATTATAATTTGATTTATTTATAGTTTTTCTATAGCAGAAGTATAGGTTGTCTTCATAGAGATTCTTGAGCACTAAAAAAAGTCAAGTTTTTTGTTATTAGAGAGAAATCTTAAGGCCATTGCAAATAGAAATTTTGAATAAGAGTCAAGTCCAAAAAGAGATTATGCATTTCTTAATTCAATTCTTAAAATACAAGAAATTCAATGGATACCTTGATGATGTATTTATACTATCTATTGATTTTTTGGATATCTAAACTTAACAAAGATTTGTATTATAGATTCTAAATAATCAAGATTAGTTGGAAGTGATAACATATTTGTTGTAAGATTTGAGAGAGTCTCAATAAACATTAGGATAAATTAACCAAGCATCCAAAAAATACCTTAATGTGTTATTATAATAATCAATGACAAGTACTTCAAAAAATAATATGGATGATACTAATCTTGCATTTAAATAAATCTCTATAATCAACAAATTATTTTTGGGTTGTTTTATCTATATTATTAATAATATTTTGTAAATAATTTTGGATAAAAAATCTATAATTCTTGATTATGGTTTTTATTTGAAATCCTTCATAATATTTTTGACTATGAATAAAAAAATATCAAAGAATAGTAAATAAATTCTTAAGTGATTACACTTAAGAAAAAAAATCTTAAATTAGCAAAGCCATAAGAGCTCAAACTCAATGAATCAAATATTTAGATTATATTTTTAAACAATCAAGAATATTCTATATTAAAGATATAATATTATTATACCATCTTATTTAAAATATTCTTATAGATATCATAGTTATATATATATATATATATATATATCAACATTAGTATTTATTGAGATAAGAGGAGTTAAGTAGAAATAGGTAAATTTCATAATATCTTGTGGAGAAGCTTCTTAGAAGCATTATAGATGCAAATTTGAACTTCTAAATGTTTGTAGGTAATTGATAAGTTGAGAACTTGGTTAATAAGTTGATCACATGTTTTACAAGTCGAACACATGACAAATGACCTATAAGAAATTGCCACATAGTGTTTTAATTAGATAGTATATATAAAGACAAGAATAAGGTATTTTTCACTCTTATCAATTTCTTTTTTACTTTTAGACTAGTTTTAAGATTTTGTAGTTTTTTAAATTATTGACAACAACTATTTTAGTTTCTTCTTGAATTTATATATTTTCTCAATTTTTTTTTTATCATTTTTATAAAAAAAATATTATTTTTTTAATTATATTCTTTGGATTCTTATCTTTGACAAAAAAAACATGAAAGATAAAAATTTAAAGGTAATTTTAGCTAATTTATTATATTTTTATAATAATTTATAAATAATTAAAAATAAATATATTTTTTTAAATACAAAATAAACCATTAC